TCCCATGAATACCTTGAATACAGTTTCTGACACAGGCCTTGGCCACAGCAGGCAAGAGGGTGAGTACTAAGTGAGCTGTGGTACAAACAAGACAAACTAGACAAAAAACAAAACCAGCCAACCCTGAGAACCCAGTACCCCTCCCCCCCAGTGCCATCTCCAACCCAACAAACAAACCCCTGAGACTGAGAGGTGGGAGGAACCCACCACTGCAAACCAGCCACATAAAAATAGGTGCCTTAAACATAAAAGGTGCCAACAGCCACAACACAAAAAACAAATGGAACTGTAAGATGGTAGTATAGTGGTTGTGAGTATCGCCTCACACTCCCAGTCCATCAGAGATATGCTATAATAGGCTGTATAATCAACAGGGGAGTAAAGGCTGTAAAGTCTTAACTTGCCTGCATGCAAGGTTTATATACAGCACATGCAGCCTATGCAGCTTGCAGGGTCTCCAAGTATATACATGAATGTAGTGCTGTGTGCAAAGTTACAAAATGATTATAATAGACTAAGTTGCAAGTGATGACAAGAGTAAAGCAAAGTAAAAAGAGTTAGGAGAGGGCACATATGCAGCCTCCCTTCCTTACAGGAACCTAATAATGACCAAAAAGAAAAAAGAAAAACTAGCCATATACCTGAACAACAGATACAAAACAACACACCAAATACTACACTCATATAACCTGGACCACACAAGAGTGGGCGGGGTAGCAATAATCCTAAACAAGGAAATAATAAAATCCACCCCAACCCACACAGAAAACCTAATCCCAGGCAGGGCAATACTAACAGACCTAAAATGGACACCAGACAACCAACTAAGCATCCTAGTGGTGTATGTGCCAAACATAACCCACTCCAGCTGAGAAAATGCGGAATTCTGGGAAAATATAAACCACCTCACAACCAACAAAGAGATCAACATTATGATAGGGGACTTTAACATGGTAGAAAATGCACTAGACAGACTCCCCCAACACCCAGATGCAGACATTGCAATCAAGGCCTTACAAAAAATAACAAACACCCATCAACTGAGCGACGGATGGAAAATAACAAACCTGCCACCAACCCGGAATTTCACATTCGGACATTCCACTGCAAACTTGTCAGGGCAATAGCCCTGAACCCCGAGCCATATGTAATTACAATGTACATATAGTCACGTGGGTAAGCGGTAACTTCCGGTTAACTGCTTACACACACCGTAATATACACACCATTGTATCACTTACGGCCTCATGTGCTGAGCAATCCCACTGAGACCTCACACTTTTTTAAGTGTAAGAGGTGTGTTTTACAACACAACCCACAAAAACTATCACATCGCAATAACAACTTGACTCGGTAGCACCCATGGCGCCAAAACATGCCTGCAAGGGCAAGGTCGCTTCTGCAGCGATGAGAAGAACAAGCGGTTTATAAAGAAACCGCAATCTCCCATTATGGGAGATTCAAAGCAACAGCTGTTGTCAGATGACGACAAGGATCAACATGATCCAGAAAGAACAACCACCTCAGGGCTGGTCCCTGAAGGTTTTAAAAACTTATGTGGAGTAAGTGCAGGGCCCAATACCCCTAGAACTCCACATCACATTGATCTCACCCAAGCTGGGGAAGATCTCTCACCTCCAGAGGAGGTGATTGACTTGTGAGATAAACACATAAGCACCAAACAATCAGCCCGAAAAGCTGATTGGATACAGTTGCAGGAAACTCCAGGGCCCCACTATCCCCCGGAGTCTTCCCCCATTTCCCCAAGTCAAGCCCCAAAGGCAGACAAAGGGAAACAGAGGGAAGAACCTCTGCATTGGCTATCCAAAAAACTACTGGACTTGTTCCAGGTCCCATCCGAATGAAGGATGGGAAATGAAGAACAACTTCTTCTCAGGCTAAAGGCCCGAGAAGGCACAAAGAAACGCCCTGAGAGCAGGATCTCTCAGAGTGCAGAAGCTCAAAACGAACTTCCGCTGTTTACACTACCCCATGCCATGCCAGACAAGGCAAGGTCACCAACCTTGGAGGAGGTCTCTGAGATCATGAAGAGAAGGCAAACCAAAATGAGTTCGCTGAGGAAGCCTTATGGAAAAGTAAGGAAAAACCAGCAAACAGACCCCTCCATGAAAAGGAAGCGCCCTCCACAACAGCCTCACCTAAACAAAGCGAGCGTGGAGTCATTACTCCAAGAACCCCTTCTGGAACCCCCAGAAGCGGCAATGTTAACTGGGGAGAGTCACTACTCACCCAGCCAAACTTCCTCCTGGAAAACCAGGAATTGCGCATAATAAATGTGATAAACTCGATCCAAAAAAAGATCAAGGAAACAAGCCATAATGGCATGGCTCATCTAGACATAACTCTAGAAAGAATGGCCAACACAATCGATGCATTGACTGATAAAATCAGCAAGCAAACTGACTTGCTGAAGGAAATAAACTTCTCATGAAATAGTGAGGAAACAAAAAAATACCCCTGGGCCATGGGCCAGGATAAAACCAGAACTCGTGAAAAATTCACGAAAAGAACAACCAGTGAAAGTACACTGGAGTATCATCAGCGACTTGACAGAGATGCAAAAGAGATCCTTCTCCCAAGGATAGGAGAAGATGATGCCGAAAGGAGGCACCGTTCAGAAATCAGGAGGAGAATCGGCACATACCAAAGGTTTGGCCAAACCTCCACCTTTGATGAGCCTCTCGAACAGAGAGGTAACACAATCACACACTCTCAAAACAATGAGAGAATTCTGATACAACTTCAGGCGAAATCACCTGAAACAAAGGAAATGCTGCAAGAGAGACTCCCTCCAGCGAAAACCCCTCCAAAGGAGATATCTCCATTGGATAGCGACCCTGCAAAGGCAGGGGAGCAAGAAGAGTACCTGGAAAAATGGTACGAAAAGGCCATAAGAATGGCCGAAGTGAGAATACTCACTCCCTACCCAGAGGGAGTGAAGCCAGAAGCTCTAAAGAATGGGCTGGCTTTCCCTGACAAGAAATGGTCAGGGGAGAACGACATGGAGTCGTTCTGGCAGTGGTTCACAGAACTACTGGGATTCCTTGCCTCGTGAGGATGCAAAGGTGTCAAGGGACAACTCCCAGGTCCCCATGACCCTCCCCTATGGTCCACAGCCTGTGGTGTAACCAGCCCTATCCAGGGCACAACCTACTGTGGGTAAGAAGATGAGATGGAAGCTAACTTCTCATCTTCCCACAGTGGCCACCATATCAGGAAAACTTCCGGGGATACCCGGAAGTCACATGAAGGGGTAGGAACCGGGCCCGGAGCATGCGGCACGCAGAGCATGTGGGAAGTGCGGCAGGTGGAAGCGGGTCCGGATGCGGGTCCGGGTCCGGGCTAGTCAGGGTGTGCGCCCTGACAAAAGGTCCCCAATTCGATGAAGTCCATCTGGACTGCTTGATTCATGGATTAGGGGGACCTACATTCGACCTCAGAATAAGACTCTGAGATGAAACTCTCCTCAGAGGAGACGAGGGCATGTTCCTCGAAGTTCTCAACATACTGATGAGAACTTTCATCAAAGCCTCTGCTGTGTTGAACGCGACAAAGAAATGATGGTGATGCCACCAGACCAGGCATCCTTCAATGCCAGGTTTCTAAACAACATTCCCCTCGAATGGAAGAGGGAAATGATCATTCATGACAGAATCAGAGTGGACTTCTCCTCAAATGAGGAGATGTTAAAAGCAATATCTCATGTAGACGAGATAATCGACAGGCTGAAGGTGTCTTCAGCCTACAAATTGGGATATTACACCTGAACAACCACCACGGCAACCACAAGCTGCGGTAGAGCTCTCCCATCAGGAAAGAAGGCTGAAGAGCCCAAACCCAGATGGAAAGAGGATATATCCTCGAAAAATTCGAGGAAAACTGACCAAAAGTCAGTCCCAATTTGCAGCAAATGTGGCAAAATAGGGCAAACAAAAGATTACCCTAAACATCATGCTATGAGCGATGAAAAGCCAAGGCACATAGCTGCCATGGAAATCACGAATGCATCAGAAGAAGAGTTGGAAGACTCATCAGACGAAAAACCAGAGAACAACTCTGGTGACTCCAGAGCATCAAGCTTCGAAGTAGAGGACCCATACAAGGGACCTCAATACTCACCCAATTCAGAGGGTGAGGAAGTTAACATTGGGACCATAAGGATGGGCCCAATGTCAGTCGTTGACCACGACAACATAAATTACAAAATCAAACTGGCCATGGTGCACCAGTTAGAAAACATGGCAGACGAGAGAGTCACCGAAGCCTTGGTGGAAGCACCAAGAAAAGATGCCTTGGGGAAATACACCAAAGTACCCAAGGAAAACAAGGAGAAAGGGAAGAAGGACCAAAAGTCCATCGAAACCAAGACCCCCTTGTTTGATGCGAAATTCTCAAAAGATGTGGGAAAATATCCCACAAACAGACTGCTCTCAACAAAGAGAATGCTGACAGCTCACATAAAAATAGCAGGCATAAAAGCCTATGTGCTATTTGACAGTGGGGCTGAAACGGATGCAATATCGCCGGACTTTGTCTGTGCAGTCCACATCCCAATCCTCCAATTGGAGAACCCAGTCATCCTCCAAATGGGGACAAAAGGAACAAGATCACAGATCTTGTTCAGAACAAATGTGGACATTGAGATCAATGGCCATGTAGAAAAACACTATTTCGATGTGATTAACATCGACAGATACAACACCATATTTGGTGCCCCCTGGTTAAATGAAAACCAGGTAAGCTTAGACTTCCGGTCTCATAAAGTGAGAACGGTGAACAAGGGTAACATAGACACCCTTGGAGTCAGTGAAGACTGTGTGACGAGATCACATGGGTGGAAAACTTGAGCAAGGGCTCAAGAACAGCCAAAAAAAGAAGCCTCCCTGACAGGGAGGCAAGACAAAAACACACCTCAGGGTAATCGGCAGAAAGTACCGGTGTTGGAATTTGCACATGGTCTTTTAGGGAAACCTAAAAGTTGGACATACTGGGAATCAAACTCCAGTCCTCTGGATTGCGAACTCAGTGTGCACAGCCATTACACCATATGCCCTGTTAGGCTGAGGTGGTTATTTCAACAGAAGGTTGGCCCAATCCTAGTCCAGAAGGACTAGAACTCCCAGATGTACCACATCTGGAAGGTCTCTCCATGAACAGCCCCGAGTTCGAAATACTCAGGGAGTGGTGGAGAGAGAAATTTGAAACCGTAATGGTGCCAGCACCATTAGAAATGCCTCCCTTGAGGGAGGTGAACCATCGAATCCCATTAAAGGATCCAAACAAGAAATTTTGGGAAAACACCCCAAGATCTCCTGCAGCACTGCAGGAAGCACTAGTGACCAAAATAGATTGCTACATGAAAGCAGGATGGTGGTATCCCGCAAGCAGCAAGCGAGCATGCCTGCTGCTGTGCATCTGCAAAGCAGATGGATCTTTGCACATGGTAATCGATGCAAGAAATCATAATTCAAATGTTATAGGAATGGAGTCTCTTGTGACCGTGTCGACTGAACGTCCACCATGGCGGGCCCTCCTTCTCCATATCCTCCCTTCTCTTTGTTACCTTCTCCCCGTTACCCCCCTTTCTTACACGTTCACTCTGCGCTAAGCTTTCCCTTATCGGGTTTTGGTGCTGGCCGGAATATTTATTCTATTTCGCGAGATTTCTTGCGATCATTTCTTATTCAATAGTTAGCGTCACGTTTATGTATGGCAACAGCTGAAAAGACGGAACCTAACAAATAACACACCATCCTCTTCTGTGCAACAACTGTAAACCTCCTTGTGCCAACACTGTATCGTCTGTGTAAGATTGTGTATGTCTCGGTCACCATCTATATGGGTCATCCCTGCCAAGGTTGACAACTCTAGCCACGGATCATCGAGTTTGCATGTGACTCAACTCAGGTATGTGTGATCACCTTTTGTTACGACTCACGTCGTTTGCCCAGGTACTGGGCTCACGTCTGTCTCACCTTACAGTGAGCATCTGGTTAATTCTACGGACAGATGGGTATTCGATACAAGCCTGTTCCCTTCGTCGCCGGTACGCTCTCGCGAGCGCCAAGTAGCCGTCAAACCCACCACGTGTCGTTCGACCTACAATCGACTAACCCCTCCATCACCGGTACGCTCTTACGAGTGCCAAGTACCCATTGACACATATACAGACCATCCGCCAGATGAACGGTCTCATACCTCGTTGCCGGTACGCCCATCTGGGCGCCAAGTATCCGTCAACCCAGCCTCTGGCAGCTCCCTCAAGGAGCTAGAACATCACTCGTTGCCGGTACACCCAATTGGGTGCCAAGTACCCATCAACCTATTCTCAGGAAGCTCCCTCAAGGAGTCGTTATCTCACTCGCTACCGGTACGCTCCCTTGAGCGCCAAGTACCCGCTAGCCCTATGTCCTCGACTAGTCCCGCTCTGGACATTCTCTCAACCTGTGATCCTATACACCCACGTACAGTACGCTCACATAACGAGCGCCAAGTATCCGTCGTAACAGACTCCCATTCACTGCGAGGCCTCAGCTTTCTGTCAAAAGCTCCACAGCCATCAGACAATTCTAATTACATGACTAAACCGCCCTACATACATGAGGTGGACAATTCTAAGTCGTCTATAAGGACGGAAAGAAATGGTTTGCCCTTAACCCATTTCTTTAACATCAAACACGATTCTTGATGTCACACCAATACCAGACATGCGACTAATCCAAGAATCAGTTGCCAGAGCAACATACTGATCCAAGATCGATATGGTGGACGTTGTAGGTGGGATAACCTACTATACCTTACACTGCCAGTATTTTCGTGGTTTATGTTCCTTAAGGATTTCCCATATGTGATGATTACCTACCAATGCCAATGGTGCATAAAAACATTTTATTTCATTTTATTATGGAGTACAATTGTGCATAACATGCTGGTACTGAATTGGTCCAGCCCAAAAACTACACTTGGTGCTACTGGCCGCCGAAAGACGATGAAGGGCTCAGAAAATAGAGAAAAATCATAAATATGGATTCCCCGAATTTCATCCAGATTGACACAGCTGTTGTGGAACAATGGTGGTGATGATTTCTCATCTTACCGCAAGGTTCTGCACAATGTTGAAAGGCATGTGAGGGTGGTGTGTCATATCCATACAATCCCGACCTCCGCTCCGGGCTCCCGGAACTCCGAACTCCGACTTCCGGAGCCCTACTTCCCTTCCGTCACCTTCTCCTTGCCGACTCCCAAGAGGTTATCCCACCTCCAGCTCCAACACCACCTTCGGTCCGACTCCGGAACATTCCGGGTCCGACCCCAACCTCGACACCTTCCAGACGAGTATGCAACACCTATGCTCCCGACTCCGGACCTCCGGTCTTAGCTCCGACCTCGGACTTTGACCCCACCTCTGCTTATACCCATTGTATTGGTTAGCTCATTCCATTTAATTACGTTTGCCAATATTCCGGAGTTTAACCTCCGAGTTCGGACTTTCCGGACTTACTCCGGACCTTGCAACTATTGCATTGTCCATTTCAATTCCGCTATTCTCCCTCATTCCTATTTGGGCTGCTGCTTCCTTCTATTCAGTCAGCTAGCCATTTCCGACTCCCATCCTCCTTCCTTCCTCCTTGGGCCTTGGCCCTTCATTCCTCCTTTGGGAAACACCATTGAGTCAAACACTTGACCCTCGGTGTTGTTCCTCTTTCCATCTCCCTTTGTCTCCTTTTGTCCTACCCTTGTTCCTTTTGATTCTGGACCCCTCCTTATATACAATGTACCTAGTAACTTGTAACCTCAGTCCGAAATCGACATGAATTCCCCCAAGAGACTTTCCCTCTGCTAGATCCGAAATTAGGGACCCCTAGGACAACCAGCAATGGCACAGCGCTCTGCCTGAGTTGCTGAGGCCAAGGTCCTTCCATGATAAGTCTCCGATTCCACTCCGGAGTCGTCCGAATCCCCGCGTTCTAACAAGTCCTACGATTCCTGGGAATGGTAGAATATCTATCGGTGGACACCACTCCACCAGAAATGCTTTGACGAGATTAAACGTCTCACATGCAGGGCTCCGATTCTGAAGCCCATCCAGTGGAATCCACCAGAAAACCTCTCAGAAGAAGAGAGGAGTAAACTCCATGTCTGGGTCATAACAGATGCATGCCCAGCAGGCATGGGTGCACTAATTGGACAAGGAAAAAAGTGGCAGACCTGCTGCCCTGCCGCATTCATGTCCAAGAAGTTTACCAACACACAACGTAGGTACTTCACCTACAAGCTTGAGGCACTTGGCATCCTCAAGGCACTCATGAGATGGCAAGATGATCTCATGGGAGGCCATGAATTCACAGTAATCATGGATCACAAAGCCTTGGAATATTTCAAAGCGAAAAATCACAACTCAGGTAGACACCTGAGATGGCAAGCCTTTTTCGCAAGCTTCAATTGCAAAATAAAATATGTGGAAGGCCACAAGAACAAAGTGGCAGACACACTTTCATGGTACTATGACTCGTCAACAGATGAGGATCTGCATTTCAATGACTACATGTCAGTGGATATCCATCTGGATAAAAATGCAGAAGACATCATCCCCAACAGAGTCAAGGAATATGAAGAACTGCTGCTAAGCAGTACTCTGAGTAAAAACTCAGAGGAAAAGAGACTTGCAGCAATACATGTGAGAAATACCCTAGAGGAAGCTCTAGGGGGGAGCGACAACCTAGAGGAAACTCTAGGGGGAGTGCCCAAAACCTGGAAGAAATTATAATTCCAGAAGAGAACCTTCGAAAACAATTCGAAGGAAAAGACCTCATTGAGGCAATAAAATCTGGATACATGCAAAGCCAGATCCACTGGGAAATCCTAGAAAATCCTGGGAACTTCAAAAACTTCTCCATAAAAGATGGGCTGATAACCCAACTTGGAGAAGGAGAGACAACACAAATAGTAGTCCCGAAAGGGAACTACAAAAGGAAGTCCATTTGAGGAATAATCCTCGAAAACATCCATGAAACACTTGGACACCTAGGGTCCAAGAAAACAGTGGAAACCCTCTGTCAATATTTCTGGTGGAAGTTGATGAGGAAGGACACCCACAAGTTCTGCAGGTCTTGCAGAACTTGTCAGACAACAAAGAAAAGCACCAGGAGAAATCCTGGACTGCTTCACCCACTCCCGACCCTGGAAACACTGTGGTCGTCAATAGCCATGGACTTCACAGGTCCATTCCCAACAGGCTTGGGATATGATTACCTCTGGGTAATCATCTGCAGGTTGATGTCCAACGTCCACCTGATTCCGATAAAAACAACAACAAACACATTGGAACTAGCATTTGTATTCCTTCGTGAAGTTGTAAGACTTCATGGTCTACCACACTCAATCGTATCAGATCAAGACTCAAAATTCATGTCAAAATTTTGGCACAAACTACACCAAATACTCGGTGTGCAGTTGAAATTCACAACTGCATTCCATCTGCAAGGTGATGGCCAAGCGGAAAGAATGATACAAAAAGTAGTTGTTAGACACTGGTCCAGGGTCGGCACCGAAGGTCGCCATTGCAGGCCACTATAGGCCGTGATGGCCATGATGCCGCAAACAAGGCCCGAGGGTAGGGCATTTGGCCTCAGCGACTCTAAAGGAGCGCTGTGCCCCCTAGCTGTCTCTTGGCCCTCATTTCAGACTTACTGGGGTTGCCTTGCTGGGGTCAGGACTTGGGGAGTCATGGTCAAATTGATATTAGAGCTAAGGTACAATAAAGTATCATACAGGATATATATAGGGAGAAAGAATGAATGGAAGCGGACCCGGGCCGAAGGCTGAAGGGTCCGGAAGCAAACATGAATAAGGAGCGGGGTTGGCCACATAGCGGCCAGCAATGACCGAGGGTCAAAACAAACAATAACAGATAAAGGAGCGTAGGGCCGTGATAGCGGCGATGGTATCATAGCAGCACTGGACTCGGAGTTGGGCCGGAGTCAGGTGCGGGAATGGTAGTGGCCCTGTAGGGGCCAAGTGGGCAGGGTAGAGGAGTCGCACTGGGCACGGTGC